GGAGAGACCCCGACCGGGAAAGATCCCGAGGAGGTGGTGGGAGAGACTCCAGCCGGGAAAGATCCCGAGGAGGTTACAGGAGAGATCCTGACCGGGAAAGAGCCCGAGGAGGTTACAGGAGAGACCCCGACCGGGAAAAATCCTGAGGAGGTGACGGGAGAGATGTCCGCCGGGAAAGATCCCGAGGAGGTGGCGGGAGAGATGTCCGCCGGGAAAGATCCCGAGGAGGTGGCGGGAGAGATGTCCGCCGGGAAAGATCCCGAGGAGGTGGCGGGAGAGACGCCGGCCGGGACGGAGCCCGGGGAGGTGACGGGGACGCCTGAACCGGCCGGGAAAGACCCCGAGGAGGCGGCGGCCCCGGCGGGGTCAGAGCGGGAGGAGGCGCCCGAGGTGGCGGCCGCGGCCGGGACGGATCCCGAGGCGGCAGCAGGGGAGGCCGCCGCGGCGGGGACGGACGCCCAGGAGGAAGCGGCGGCCCCGGCGGGAAGGGAGCCCGAGGAGGCGGCCGAGGAGGTGGCTCCGGCGGGGTCAGAGYGCGAGGAGGCGGCAGAGGAGCCCACCCCAGCGGGGACGGGCCCCGAGGGGGAGACAGCGGCCCCGGAGGCGACGGCCCCAGGTGAGGGGGAAACAGCCGCCCCGTCAGGCCCGGACCCCGACGCGGCGGTCGCTGAGGCTGCCCCAGAGGCCGAGGCTGCCCCGGAGGCCACAGTGCCCCCGGAGCAAAGGGCAGCCCCGTGTGAGGAGCGGGGCGCTCCGTCGAGCCTCCCGGCTGCAGCGGGGTCTCCCCATGGGGTGCCAGAGGGCCTGAGCCTGAACGGCCTGCGGGGCCCTGCGGAGGATGAGGAGGACGAGGCAGGCTCGGCCGCCGCGCTGGAGCAGCAGCAGCAGCAGCGACAGGAGGAGGAGGAGGAGGAGGAGAAGCAGGAGCATGACATCTCCCTCTTCGTCAAGGTAAGATGTGGGGCACCGCGACCCACTGTGTGCGTGGGGACGTGACTGCCCGCTCTGTTTCCAAGTGCCAGCCCCTGGTGGAAGGGTGTGTTTTCCAGAGGCTCTCGCCAGATTTTTGACCTCTTTGGAGTAAGGGTTTGTAGTATTGAGTCATAGGTGTTTGGATGGAGGGAACTGGAAAATGTCCCTTTAAATATGTTGATRGTCTTGGGCATATTGGAAACCCCCCGAAGTTTAGTCAGTTGYCCCAAATGTGGCAGTGCTGGTTTCCTGAAAGTCAGCAAAAAAGTGTCCAACTATGTAACATTATCCCCTAAAGCTGCTCTACCTGGACGTGGGTTCGGACAGGCGGGAGGTATATGAAAGTGGCCCAGAAAAGATGAAAAGATACAGTGGCCTTAAAACTAATTTCTGCTGTTTTATGCTTGAGAGTTTAAGTGCTGTGTTCTCCTCTGAACCTGGAATCTCACTAAAATCACTGTGATTCCAGATGGGAAAAGACATCTGTCCAGCAACAGAATATCAGATGTGAAAATCTCTGAATGTGAAGTCCATTGTGAGATCACTTTCTTTGCCCTTTTCCAACCTCTCCAGAAAAAAAAAAAAACCCATAAAACATGGAGCAGGGTAGGATGTATTTTTCCAGAGCAGACCTAAACTTAAGCTGAGGAAGGAGAGTGTTTTGAGGGTTCGCCAACGCCAGCCACACTTCGATGCAAACACTGCAGCCCCTGGGTTGCCTTAGGCCACTTCTTTAGTAGTCTGAATTAAATCTGAAAGAAAATCTTTTGGCCAGTCCTCTCCTGCTTGGAGGTAGGAGATGGAGCAGTATCTACTCATTGATTTGTTCCACCTAAGTTTGCACTTTTTTTTCCCCCAAGCTTGCACTTTTTTTTTTTTTAAAGTTTGCACTTCTTGCACTTTTTCCCTAGATTCAGTCTCTATTAGTGAAAAAAGCTGAGGGCTGCTGTGGTGCTCATGACTGCTTAGTGCCAGAAGTACTAGGTAGTGCTGTCCTGGGAAGATAAATTAATAATGTTTATAAACCTTAATCACATTTGGTGTCGATGAACTGTTCCAGCCTCTCCATAATTCAGGAATTTGCTTACAGCTCAGGCTGGGAGATACTCTGTGGCTTAGAGGCAACTTTGTGTGTTGGTCTCCGTTAGCTAGATGGTAAGGCTGGAGTTGAAACATAAGATCTTTGTGTTAAGTTTACGTAGCAGAAGCTACTGCTGCTCAGCCTAGCAGGGATCATTTCTGCACCTTTGGGCTCSAAATCAACATCTCCCTGTTGCACCTCCGCTGTTAAAACGTCTCTGCTCTCGTTTTACGCTCTCGTGCGTTCTCCAGTTTAGTGCTGGAGCGTGGCAGAATGATAAGGAAATGTTAAAGGCTACGTTTAGAGTATCGTAAGATCTGGGTACACTCTTTGTAGGAGARCAGTCTGGCCAAAATGAGGAAGTGGGCTGCAATATGGATAGGAACATGTATTGTGACTTTGTAATCCAAAAATGTAAGGATTAAGCATTTCAAAAGTCTATTTTTCAGGTAATGAGGACAGAATAAGAACCAGTTTGCTGACTGACAGCGTTAGGAATTTCAGAATGCTTTGAGAAATGACTTCACTGGAGGAGTATTGCAAAACTTGAAGATTTTACCTCACCTGGAGTTAGTTTGCTTCTATCTTTTTAGCTTGAGATTGATGAGAGTTTTTCCACTTTCATGCTGGGGGGGAAAAAAAAGCCTCCTGAAGAGCTCTGCATCCCTTCACTCACCAAGCTGTGCCTCCCTCCTCTCCTGGGAGAGCTCCAGCTGCTCCTGCTGTCTCCTACAGCACCGTTAATTCTTCCTCCTGTGCGGCCAGGGGGTTCCCAGTAAATGCACTGGTCAGCACCTGGCTGACCTTCCTTAAACCTCCGATTTAAAAGTCCTCCCTTCTGCAAAGCCACTGGAACCTGCTAACAAGTACGGCCCCAGGCTCCTTGGGCTCCCAGTATCTGTCCATTTCTGTTGAAAATCTGCCTGTAAATGGACAAGGTGGGGGGTTGTCTGTTAYGTTAGGCTTGGCTCCCACTGCAATCCTTGCCACTTCCTCCACTAATGAAGTTGCWCGGGATTTCAAGCAGAAGGGTCACCTTCAAAAGGAAAGCAAGCCTTTTTATGGGCATTTGATGACCAGCCACAGCTGGATAGTTATGGATGTTTCTTCTTTTTACCATTGCTGGCCATCCTCTTGTCCTTTCTAGTTTGGAAACATGGTCTCATCTGCTTCTCGCAGCTTTGCCTTGGCTTGCTCCATTTTTCATACATGTTTTTGAGTAYTGTGAATATCATGTCTCCTCATGCTGGTGTGTGATGAGGTTTCTGCTAGCTCTAGGGAAGTGGACATCAGGAATTGTGGACTTCAGAGCTGCTTTGGGCTGTTAGGTGGTGTGAGGTTGTAGTTTGRTCAGACATGTAGGGCTTAGGATACAGATCTGGTACTGACACAGGGGAGAGGACATCCTTCCTGCTGGAAGCCACCCAGGCTATAGGTAAGGCACCTCAAGAGACYGTCAACATGTCTGTTTAGGCAATTAATTTGTGCTCATAATGAAGCTGAGCGACGTAAGACTCCTTGAGCAAGACCRTATCAAAACTGCTTGGTAGGTTTCCCAAGGCTTTGATTGCCAAGGTTTTGGTTTCCACTTTCCCATGGAACAACCTGCGCTGTCTSTTTCCTTTAGATAGTATTTCTTGGTGTTTCTGGTCTTTCAAAGCCAAATGTTTGCAGAGGGCAAACACGTCTGATTGCTCTTTGGTAGTTCCTCAAGTTGTACCTGGCACCTTTGGCGGGACACCTTGGGGATGTCGACGCTYTGCCAGCTGGTCTTCTCTTAAGGTTAATGCTATGTGTATGCTACCCTCCTCCTCTCCCCCCATGRGAGTCTTTTGTTTTCCAGAAAATGTCTGTAAGTGCTCAAAGTTTATTTTTCTATTTGAATTTAAGAGAACTCCAGTCATTTTATTTACAAAAAAAAATCCTGAAGTGATTAAAACCTTAAAATACATGCAGTATGTAGTATGTAAAATTTTTACATACTACATTTTTAAATTTTTAAATAAATTTTTAAATAAATTTTCTTCTGTTTTTATATTTTAACTCAAACTCCAGGGTCACAACTAAAAGTTTCCTCATTCCAAAGGTTTCTAGGGATAGTAATTCAGCTGTAAGTGCTGAGCACCAACACTCAGCCAGCCACCTCCATTGGAACATGAGGTCTCCTCTGAGATTATTCTTCTTCCAAGACAGTTCTTGCTTCTGTTCTGGGTCACAGATTCACAGAATATTTAAGGTTGGAAGGGACCTCTACAGATCATCTAGTCCAACCTTCCTGCTCAAGCAGGCACACCTACAGCATGTGGCACAGGGYGGCATCCAGGCGGGTTTTGAAGACCTCCAGAGTAGGAGACTCCACAACCCCCCTGGGCAGCCTGTTCCACTGCTCTGTCACCCTAGCAGTAAAGAAGTTGCTCCTCACCTGGAGACGGAACTTCTTGTGCTTCAGCTTGTGGCCATTACCCCTCGTCCTGTCACTGGCCACCAGTGAGAACAGCCTGTCCCCTTCCTCCCTGCATTCTCCCTTCCTGAACTTATACATATTAATCATATCCCCTCTGAGCCGTCTCTTCCCCAGAGAAAACAGGCCCAGCTCAGATGWCATATAGTAAAAGCTACCTATGAACCTAAGGTAAGAGATTGTATCCAGTGAAAAGCAATATCCAATCTTGGCGACATTCTTGAACTCTAATTCAAAGTCATTTWTTTCATTCAGGGACTTGCTTCTTTCCTACCAGAGAGCAAAGCTTTTATGTGATTCCAGATTCTGTTATGCTCTGATAAAAGTGAGATTCCTTTATTGATGCAGAGTTTCTTTGCACCATTCCTGAGATGTGCTTGAGGGACTTGATGTACTTAAAGATGTGTCGGACTATCAAAAGTAGAATTGTGCTTTGTACGTAACTTTCATTTAAGGTAAAAATGGRCTGCTCTAAAATGAACCTCTCACTTTGAATAGCATAAAGTCTGTTGAAAGCAGGAGCTCAACTCTCTAGAAAATCAGCATAGCCYGAATGCCTCTTCAGTGGACTCTGTTCTGTACCTGAAGCTTGACATAAACATTTACAGTAAAAACACCAAGGAGGTATTTGTGCTTGGGTTTTGGCTTTTTGCTCATCAGTGCACTCGCTTTGTAAATCAGGTAAGTATGGTTAGAAGGAGAAGAGCTGATGCTCTGCACTGGGTGAACGTAGATGCGTGTTTACTGTTCATTTTTAACGCAGATTCACTGCAGGAACTCGAAATTCAGACGGCCTCAGGAGGGTGAAACTAAAAATGTGCATACATGGAGTTACACTGCCCTGGTATTTAAGGATTAGAAGAGGTTTTGGAGGAAACTTAGGTCTTGGAGCAGAGCAGGAGCCTGTTCCAGTTCTGAACTGCCTAAAACTACAAAATAGCCCCAAACTACTGAAYCCATCATCCAGCTGAACCCATTTGTGGCTGAGCCCTGTCGGGGCTGTGGGGCTGCCCAGCAAGATCAGACCCGTTCCCCGTTGCTGCCTCCAGCCTGATGGAGTTGCTGGAGAGCTCGCAGCGGGTTTTGGTTCCTTCAGTGCACAGGGCTGCACGCGGAGCACCRAGCTGCATGTCGGTTAAAACACATTTTGCAGGTCTGTTCCCAAGGCAAAGCAGGAAACTGGCTGCCTTCCCGGGGGTATTTGCCCTCTCCCACCTACTTTGTCAGCAGGAATATGGCCATTTAGGGTTCCCTAATACAGCTTAAGAGGCAGGCGCATTATGAATTCCTTTCATAACTCTTCAGTTTATTGTGTGAGCCCTGTGCACCTGCAGCAGTTTTTTTATTTTTTTAACTGGGAGCTGTGTGTTCTTTCAGCAGTCTTTTCATCTGAATAAAATTGTTCTTGGGAGGCTTTTGTTTAAAAGGCAACAAATT